CGTATGTAAAACAAGACTTTTCTATCTGCATTGTAGATTGTTTGTGGACACTTCCAGATTCTTGTGCTTTCTGCAGTCATTCTGGGGACTGAACTCTCATTGATACCTGTAGAGGTTCCATCAACAGGACACGTGCAGGAATTTGAGTATAGAAGCCCACAGCGTGGTTTGGAATAGTGAATTGCTTTTAGTTTGGAGATGACTGGGGAAAATGGGAAGAACAACTGTACATTAAGGGAAAAGTTACAGATCTTCTTCCCCATGACATCAATGAGAGATTTGCCTTCAACCTTCCAGAGACGAAGATTTTTAGCTTTAATTTGGGACAGTAAAGGGGTTTTTCAAAAGCACTAAAAGACAGTGGGAGCTCATTCAGCTGCTCCCAATGCCTTTAAAAACCCCGCCACCAAAAGTGATAGCTGACAACATGAAATGGAAGTAAATAAAATGCATTTTCATTGCTGTTTTGAGTTACATAATTCTTGTTTCTTGATTTGTTAGTTGATCTGAATTTACATGGATTTTTCATCTGTATGGTGGCCAAGAAAATGGTCAGTAACTGGTAAAGATGCAGAGTACAGCCGCAAAGCAAGCAATGTGTAGGTGTAGACCCTAAGAGGGTAACAAAACCAGGTAACAGAAGTTCACTGCCTACAGCCATAAGTCTTTTGTGTCCACATCTACCAATCTAGATGGCCTTTCCGGTACCGGCAGATAACAGATGTTCCCAGATGACTTAAAGGCATTCAAGGACACATAGGACCCAGGCACGGATAAGAACTCACAGACATCAGTCAAACGTCACTGCATGGAGCACTGACCATGTTCCTGCTGCTCTTCAGAACACAGAGCAAGAACTCCCTTAGCGCTAGGTCAGCTTGTGCAGACAGATTGCCCCTGGACGGGTGCATCCTTCAAGTCTTCTCTGGCAGCAGCTCCATAAGAGATGCAGCAGAACAAGGATCTAACAGAGGGTTCGGCTCTACTCAATGCACCAGAAATTGCTCCCTTCTGTATTCTCTAAAACCCAGGCCACAAAGAGCCCTGATATTGTGACTGAGCCCTTAATTTCACCCCAAAACGCCCACACAGAGCCTAGCAACTTGTATTGGGCTAAAGTATTTCCTCCAGAAATGAGCTATTAAATCAAAAAGGCATTAAAGTGATGGGGATTACATCACTGGTCTGGTGAGGATTAACCAGTCTCACCATTAAAAAGCCATGTCTGTCTGTATTTGATTTTTGTGTAGCTTTAGCTTCTATCCATTGGATGGATATTTGTACATCTTTCCCTGTTAAGTTTAAAACCTCATTAATAGAATGTGTCTCCTCCCTTTAAAGGAATCTGATTGCTTCTTGATCTTCACTGGAAGCTGAAAAGGGTCTGCTGTAAGCGATTTTCCTCCCTGAAATAACTTTTTATGGCTCTTCACTGCACAATCTCTATTTTTTACAACATCTTTAAAAATGAACAGTGGAATAGTTGGCACATTTTTAATTGGATCTCGTTTATGCCATATGCAGATACCAAAATCATAATCCTCTTTTCGTTCATTACCCTGCTCTGCATGGGATGTGCCCGAGACAAGGTAACCTAAAGAAAGAGACTGAAAAAGGGGAGAAGAAAGAGGACAAGGGGGATGTGCAGAGTTACTGAGTTTACAATTAAAACCATGTGAACCAAGAAAAATCCAATGCAGATGAACCCTACAAACCAAACCAGTTAAATACTCCAAATTCCCATGTTCTGGGAGCCCCAAAAGCAACATTATGTGCTCTGTTGTCTAAGAACAGAATAAAACAGAGCCCTCCCTGTCCTGCAGCTCCCTATGCTGAAAGTACCACTGGGGTTTTGTGGTTTGGAATCCTGCAGTGAAGGGTTCTTGAGGAATTCGGGTTCTGCAGTAACCAAGTGCTGGCACATCTTCAGCCACAGACCCAGGACAGGACTCAGAGGTGCTTCCTCTTCATAAAAGCAAGCTTTTCTTGATAGTAGTGGAAATAACCACAAGTAGTCGAGGTGGTTCCGTTTAGCCAAAGAATTGCTATTTCCATCCCACCAACAGCAGGTAGCAATGACTGGCTTTGTTTCCTCTGCAAGTTGCAAGTCCTTTTGGTTGACCAGATGATACACACAGCAGCTTCTCCTGCATTTTTAGGGCTGCAGCCTTTTCTTCTTTGTTTTCAGCCAGGTTTTTTCACCCTTTTAATGTGCATGTGCAATGCAAGTACAGAATTGAGAGGCGAAAGAGGACAGGGATCTCTCCCTCTTTCCATGCGATAAGGCACACGGGGCAACACACTGTCCAGTAGTATTAGTTCACACAGCAACACAGCAGTGAACACTGTTCATTCCCAGCTACTGTCAGTGGTACCTGTATCAAATCCTGATGTTATCATGTGTTATCTTATGGGCTTGGGAACTTTATAATATTTTCAGAGTCCAGCAATGACAGAATCCAGTATAAAAAAAGGTCAATATATTACTGTTGAAAGTTTTTTTTTTCCTTTTTTTATACAAAAATTAAAAAGATCCAAATATATCACATTATTTACATACTGTGCTTCATGCTTAGAGATCACTGAAAAAGAACACACAGATAAACATTGTAGTCAGAGGAACGCTCCATTCGTTACTCTTAGGGATCTCATCGTTAGTATTATGAGGATTGGCATTCAGATTTCTTTTCATATTAACTTTACATCCACATGGCTTACCACAGAATTAAAAACCTTTACATGCTAAGGGTGTGCGCAGTTCTAACCAAGGGTTTGCATCCAGTTAGTAACATGCTTGCTGTTATCTCAAACTCTGTCCATATACCGCACGTTTGAAACTGGGTTAGTGGTTCCACTCAGCTTCACTGCCTACTTTTCCTGGAGAATGAGGTTACAGCCTCCTACAAGTCTGGATCAAGCCCCAATCTTACAGGGGGACATGTCTCCTCATTCTGCCTTTATACTTGCAACCTCTGGCTGTTGTGGCTATGTGAAATGGTAGGAACTCCCTGACCATCCACACCCAGATTCACTGAAGCCATGTAGTGATGGTGGATTATAATTACAATGGCAGAAAAGTCTTTGTTTGGAAATAAATGTTTTGTAACTCTGCAACAAAGAGTGAATCCACTGTAAAAGTCTCAGCTAGAGGGTATGGGCTAAGTCACACCAGCACATTTTGCAGAGTGATGCAGTCTTTGTATAAGTGGTTCCTAAACTGGCTGGCCCATAATAAAAGCTTAGCCTGAGCAAGCCTGGAAAAAAGGCATTGCTACCCACAGTATCAACAAGAATGATACGTCATTTTTGGTTCCCTAACACCAGCCTATAGCTGTGGGGAACAAGACATGAAGCTAGATGGAACCTTGCCTCTTCTAATGCATGACATATGTCTGCCAAGCATGCAACATGGTGCTTAAAGGATGTACAACAGTGCAAACAATCGCCATGCAGCAAACAGAACTACTCAGGACCTGCTCAAGGCTTTACAATTATTAGTACTGTACCTTATGCCAACATCCTGCTACTGGCAGTCCATCTGGTCCCTGCAAAATTGAGAGCATAGACTGAGTTTCCATTGACACTGACTCAGGTGTCAGGACCCCAAAACCTGAAGCTCGGTCTTCACCACAAAAGGTTTAGCAGCACTATTAATTACCATGCAAAACCCCATTTACTTGTATGCACAGAAATAACTATGCAGGCAATGTAACCCGTATTTCACCACACAAAACTGAATACACCCCAGGGTAAGAAAAAAACCCAGCCTACACTTGCTTTTTCCTTCAAACAGAAAGGAATATGTGAACAAATACAGAACTTTGGAAGCACAGTAAATTACCTTCATAATCTGCTTTATAAAACAGTGGGTTTTGCAATCAGACATATATGGAAAGCATGATGTGGAAATGTGTTTTTTTTGTTAATATGAGCTTTTTAGTTTGGGGCAGTGATGTAATTTCTGTTCTGGATGATAGCCTTATTGTGTTAAATTCGATCCTGCAGTACTTAGTTTCTTTAAGAAATCTTGCTGAACTGATGGAAATGCCTATGGAAATGGTCATGACTATGACCATTGACTATGGAAGCTATTGAAATAAGTGGACTATGCAAAAGCAGCGAAACTATTCGTCTTGTTCTGATGGAGATAACAAGAAACAGAAATCAAAGCCAGAAGAGCTTACTTACCAGGAGGGAAACACTGAAAAGGAAGGAGCCCCTTAGAAGAGGAACAGGCTATGTGTGACCAACTCTTTCAAGATACTTTAGCTGACTTGCGCTGCCTTTTCTGATGCTGGATTTGTTTTAAGGCTCTTGGATCTCTGGTTGCATGAATTTCTGCATGTAGAGCTACAGAGAGCACACATGCACTGACCCTGCCCTCAGAGCCACCTCCACGTTACCCGGGGGTGGAAGCCACGAGGATGCGTGCGCAGCGGAGAGAACTGCCAGTGCAAACACAGGTCAAAACTGCATTTTTACATTTTTTACTGTAAATGTCAGTCATCACATTTTTTGTATTCTGTATTGATTTTATATGTAAAATAGCCTATGCCCAATAAAACAGATGCAGTGAGTAAGGTTACCCTCTCGATGCTCGGAGTGTAACAGGTTGAGTTATTTGCATGTGCTTTCCTGTAACATTAGTTAGAGCACACACACACATTTTTCTGCTGATACCAGTCATATTTTGGGTCGTAAGTAGTGCAATTTGTACATTTGCCACAGGTGTATGGGGTGAAGGGGACAAGGTACAGAGCAGTAATTTGACCTAGAAAGGTCCTGATCTGTTAAAGCACATCCTGATGCCAGTGGGCGCAGGGTTGATTTCTGCCCTGGGCTTTTTCTGCCTCCCTTGCACTCAAAATACTTGTGGCCATCACAGAAGTCCACACGTTTCTACCACGCTGCACTTGAGTGATCCCAGAATGACTTGTCAACTTCAAAAGAGCTTTGCAACCTGTGTGAGGCTCATGGTCATGCTCCTGGACTGAAAGCCATCACTGAGAACGCAGCAAGCCTCCACCCTACAGTGGGGTGGAGAATGAAGATGACACTCCCAGAGCCAACATGCAACTAACCCTCATGTGCGTAAGCAGGAAGACATGCAAGTGCTTTACTGACTAATCATATAGTAGGTTACATATTGGAGAAATCACCTCCTGCAGTTTACAGTGCCTTCAGTACAGATAGTTTTCTATATAGTGTTTTCTATATAGTTAAGATGGGAGATACTTGGTAAACAGAAGATCTCTGGGGTTGAAGCGGGCCTGCTGCTAGTAATTGGTTTCTTTGACACATATGAAAGTAATTTAACTTCTTGAAAGAGAGACAGCTTACTGCCCTTTTGTTTCTCTGAAGACAACTGCAAATCATCGAACATGCAGCATTTTCCATGGTCAATAAAATGAAACTAAAACAATGACCTCTTCTAACCCGTTGTGCAGAGCTCTCTTGGGGAGTAGAGCACGAACTTCACTGCGTAACCACTGCCCTTCAACCTGAGGTGCATGCTGACACCACAGATGCAGTGACCTGTTCTCTGCAGAGTTAGCCATTCATTTCAGGAAGGCTTTCCAAAACCTAGCTAGGAATCAGACTTCCAGCAGCACAGGCACAAGGCAACCAAACTGGGCCATAGGTGCTGAGGGAAAGCAGAACTAACTTATCATAAAGGGCGAACATCCCCTAACGTGATCTCCCATTGCTTATATTCCTTATCTAAAGCAATTTTAACTAGGAGGGAAAAGGCACAGCACATCGGCATCCTTCCCTGTGAATGCCTGAGTGAAACATCTTGTTCCAGCCCTGCTGCCTGATGTCCCTTCCTCTCCCTGGAGGGGTTCACTGGAACAGGGCTTGGCCACAGCAGAAACACACACAAGCCATGCAAGAAGAGGAAAGAGAGCAGATACTGTACCAAAGGGCAGGGCACGCTCACCCCGTCCAGGCCTGGTAAACCTGGGTCCCTTGTGCAGCCTGCAGTGCTGCGATCTGCCTGTTTGGAAACACAACTGCTTGTTGAGAGGGAGAAAGGGCATGGGAGTTACTCAGACTCCAGGACTTTGCACCTTTATTTCTGATGACACAGCAAGTCAGCAGAGGGGTTTATGGCAGGGAATTCACAGGCACACAGAGCCTGTCATCTGGGAAAGATCTTCTATACACTAACCAGAGATTCACATTTGTAACAGCGCAGTGAAAAGGATGAGGGTTAAATCATCCAACATGTTGAGGGAGGAAGGGTGATCCGTCAGGAGCAATCAGATTAATTGTAGTTCACATTCAATCTCAGAGCAAAATAAAGCGTAGTGGCTGGAAGAGCTTTTTGCAGGGATAGTGGAGCTGTACAACAGCTTTGATGGACAAAACTGTGCTGACAGGGGGAGAAAAAGTCACTTTTAGACAAGAAATGGGGGTTTGGAGCCTGTTGGAGCAGGTACCTGGCACTACAAATTACATGCCTCTGGACTAAGGTCCAACAGCCACATTTAAGGCCAGTTCGGATGAGGCTTGCAGCAACCTGCTCTAGTGGAAGGTGTCCCTGCCTGTGGCAGGGAGTTGGAACTGGATGAGCTTTAAGGTCCCTTCCAATCCAAACCATATGATTCTATGCTTTAAGAAGTTTCCAACTGATAAAAATGCCTCAAAGCATTTAAGGGAAAGGATCTCTCTGGTTTTAGTCATCATATGAAAAGCAGTGATGGAGGAGGTAGATTTTACCAGGCCAAGTAACTTATTATAAACCAGGACAGGTTTTTTTTTCTGGGCCCTGTCAAAGGAATGATTGGTTCTGGAAGTGGACGTGGGAGATCCACCTTCCTTAGGCTCAAACACACAGGAGTTACCTGGAAAGCCTCTCTGCGCACACACTGCTTGGTGATGGACCAGGCTGTGTTCAGGAAGGAACAGGTCTGAGCCAGTCTCTTCTCCCAGAGGTGCTTTTTGGCATCCTGAGGAGCTCCAGCTCCTCCATCACTTACCTTTGGCAGCACCAAGATGCCACCAGCTCTGAACCACATCCCCACACAGAGCAGCGAGAGCCAGGCTCACCCCTCGCTTGGTTTGCGGAGATGAAGGGATGGAGCTGACCTTGCTTTCTAACTCCATCCACTGCACTGAGTTATTCCCCGATTTCCAATGTACTCAAAAGCCAGGCCAGCAGCGTCACCAGGGCGCACTATCTCCCGAAGAGCGTTACTGAAGCCCATTGTTCCCGACTACAATAAGAAGGTCTTTATACAAAGATTCTTTCTTTTTACTGCTGTGGCTTGCTCCCATCTGGCCAGTGAGGAGCCCTTAGAGCGAGCAGGGAGCTTCCAGCAGTGCAGATAAACCATTAGGAAAAGTGAGAAAACAATAACCATCTGCTCTGATTTACTGCAGAATAAAGAACGAACCGAGCCCTCCCTCCCTTTGCCTGGCTGCAAACCCGCGTCTCCTTTCCCATCCCGGCTTAGGATGAGTGAAATAAAGGACGTACCACGGGGCAAGGCTGATCCAGTCCGGGGGGGCCTGGTTCCCCCTTCTGCCCTTTGGCTCCTTTTCTGCCCGGTATTCCTCGCTCACCCTGTTGGCACAGAAGGAAGGCATCAGAAACACCTTGGCTGCGAGTCACACAGCGCTTGCAGAACCCCACCCCTCACCCAGAGCAGGGGTGTTTGTACCAGTGTAACCACACCTGGGCAGTTAAAGCACTGTGAACACCTGCAGTTAAAGCTGTGTGGAGACATTTTAATAGATAATTTGGTAACAGAATGATTAAATGACTGGTTTCTACTGTGTGACAGTGGGAGCATCAGCTTCCAGCACTGCCCTGTGCTCAGATGAGTTCCTGTCTCTGGCTGGGCATCTCTTTATTTGAGGATCCCTGAACAAAGCCTTTGACTCTGGTCCATTTTCAAGGTCTATAAACCCAAACTAGCAATTCTTTATAACCTGGAGCTGTCAGGGTGCTCCATTTCCCCACAATGATTGTGCTGGAGGGGGGCAGGATTGCAGAAAGCATTTCCCAACGGGTGGGAATTAACTGGATGTCCTGCCCTATGCTGGGACCAAGCAAATACTTGTGCACAGAGAAGGCCTTACAGGGATGACCAAACACAGCCAGGCTGGATGGGGAACCAGCACCCAGGGCAAGAGCATCATCCTACCCCATGAGCATCTCTACAGCCAGAACCCACTCACCTTCTCGCCTCTTTCACTTCGCTCTCCTTTCTCTCCTCTGAGACCTGGGAAACCCTGTCACAACCAGTTTTAGGTGGAGAAGGGGAAGAAAAGAGGTTGGCGTGTTTAGTGTGTGAAACTAAACTTCCTCAGCTCAACGTAAGCAATCTCCAGCAACCAACCCATCCTCCCATGGTGAAGAATATGATACTTTCTTCCCGATGACTTGATATGCCATCAGTTTCTAATGAAAGCTGGTGCTTTACCGTACCCCAGTAACATTGCAGCTATTAGAGTCTTATTTCACTGAATCCAAGTATTCTCAATTGGAAAGGGAAACCCCCACAGCATCTTTAGCTGAGCAGTTTCTGCTGTGCAATGGAATAATCCATCAACTGGCCTCAATTAAGCCCTTTCCTACAGACATTGTTCCATAGGCATCATATTTAAGGGACAGCAGTCTATAAAGGGTTAGATACATACTTCTCTAATAATCTCAAGCAGTTTGATGGCCTTTACCCATGCGTTCATGTTTCTACATATCACAATGAATGTTTTCCATACTCACATCCAATCCTGGCTCCCCCGGCTTTCCCTGCAGTGGTAAAAATACAAGTTAAGACATGCTGTATCCAGTTTGTTTTTGCAGCAAGCTTATACCCAGTTAGTGAAATACAGTGCGCGCTCAACAGCCCTTGGGCTTGAAGGGGAGCCCCTCACCACACATTGGGGTAGTGCTGGTAATCCCAGCTCTGCTGGGACCCACTATGGAAGGAGTTTACAGCCCCTCTTTTAGGATTCCACCACAGCATCACTATTGCTTTCCCACACTGATAGTTACCTTCTCTCCTTTGGTACCGGGTAAACCGATGAGCCCTGGAGCGCCCGGGAGACCCTTGGAGAAAGGAGATAACACAGCATTGGGATAACTGCTTTACAGGGTTCTCTTGATGGCCAGAAATGAGACACAGGAAAACAACTCACAGCGGGTCCAGTGTGGCCGTGGTCGCCCTTCTCCCCACTGTCACCTTTTTCTCCCTTTGCACCGTCCAAGCCCTGCAGAAATGAATTGGCATCAGGCAAGATGACCTGGCAGCTCTGCCTCCTCATGCATCCACCACCTGCTGCCGCATCTCTGGGGGTGCTTATACCCCTGCTGCTGTTAATGCCTTCCTCTTGACTGCATCATATAAGGAAGCAGTTGTAAATACAGGTTTATGCTGTGGGTTTGGAAGCCCTGACTTGCATGTGCCAGTGGCTCCCAGGACTGTGCTGGAAGGAGATTTAGGATCGTAAATGTGTTTGGAAGGAGAAATAGCCTGTTTGCCGCAACGCCAAACTGCTCAACAGCATCACCAAGGGATGTGTTGTCACAGAAACATCAGTCCCCAGAGCTGACAGCCCTTTGTGAGCCTGTAAATAATGCACTGGCAGCTGGGGAGCAGTGGGTGACATTTCATTTATTGACTTACTTTAGGCCCCTGGATTCCTGGAGGACCCTGCAGGAAAGACAATGGTGCATTTGAGCTAAAGACAATTTCAGAACCGAGCCCCAAAGGTTGCTTCCCAAACCATTTCTTGCTCAAATCATGGGCTGACAATGGCCAAATATTTCTTTTCAAGACAGGTGGCAAAAGATTCTGACGTCAAATCAGGAGGGAAAAGGAACTGGAAAAGAGCACTTTGTGACAATAAAGCTCTGCAACACGAGCTGTGCTGAATGAAGTGACAGCAAGCTCTGGAGGGTGGCATCCTGCCACCGTGGCCCTCCAAGCCTGGCACATCCTGGCCTTTCTGATGCCCCTGACAGCTCCTCAGCCTTTTAGAGCATCGTAGGTACCAAACACCTTAGAGCTCTGCACCAAAACTGCTCATCACCACCCGCATCCTCGCCCACTGCAGTCGATGCCACAAAACTTAATGACTTGGGTAAATTGATGGAAATACAGACACTACTGTGGTAGGGAACAGGCTTTCCCATCACAACGTTTTCTCTTGTCCCCATTCCAAGGAACAACTTGGTTATTTGCAAAACGTGCCATAAACACGGATGTACTCTCCTAAATCAGGTGCTTCCAAAGACAGCTCATAATGCTGCAGCTGATTTTGATCCCAGATCCACAGCAGCCCACACGGATTAAACAGAGCAAAACGCCCTCCTCCTTAACTAATCACTTGTGATAACACCTCTGCAGCGATGCTCAATTGCACAAGCTGCTTCCCAGAGTCCTACCATAGGGCCAGGTAATCCAGGCGGTCCAGGCTCAGGTATGATCTGCAGAAGGGAATTAAACAGCATGTGAATGGGACACAGAGACAAGATAGTTTGGGAATGGAAACCTCACGTGGCCCAGCATCATGATTTAGTGCCCTCTGATTTAATAGCTTTAATCCAAAGTATCTGCTAATCGCGGTTGCTTGTAGCATGAATAAATAAAGGAATCTTAATAAGCACATGGATCAAGCTGGGCTCTGGAACGAGAAGTGTGAGCCATGATACTCCGTGTATCTGCCAGCCACAGAATGGATGCAATGGAAAATGATGCCACTTTGTGCACAGACCAGAGGGAAGCAGCCTTTTTGATTAAAACTCCCCGCAAAAGCAGAACAAAACTGGAGCTCTTATGTCACTAAGATCTATCAAACCCCACCACTTTGGCTTAAAAGAAGAAGGCATAAGGGAAAAAGGATGCTGAAATGCTATAAAACTGCAAGGAGCCCTGTTTGTTTTCAGAACAAAACACAGTTCCAACAGCAGCATCCAATATCTCAACCACTGATTCAAAACCTAAAGCATCTTTGCAGTGCCAAGCGTGCAGAGCGTTCTTCCCACACAGATAAACCCCATTTAGACACATCTGGAAGTTCTTGTAGCAAAGTACAAGCTCTTGCAGTTGGGTTTTGCTCCCCTTCGCTCTGGGGATGGATGTGGGACTGGCATCTCCAGCCTGCACCCCCCAACCTCCCCTCACCCCTCATTACGGAATAGGCTTTAAGTTGCCCAGATCTTACGTGGTTGTTCTGCAAACACGGTGACCCTGTGTCCCCTTTGTCTCCTTTGTCTCCTTTTGGTCCTTCTGCTCCCTAAAGGATAGAAATGGAACACTGATGTGGTGCATCCCCCAGGAGCACAAAAACAGGAGAGAAAAACACATTTGTCTTCCTCTAAACTCGAGCAAAGCTCATGTTCATCCCCAGGGGGCTTTAAGAAAGCATTTTCTTCTTACTACTGGCTTAGATCCCATTCTGAATAAGCTGTTATCATCATTAGCAAAGGAAATGCAAAGCTCCTGCATCCTCCAGTGCAGCTGTAACGTATGGACAGGCCACTGCTTAACCCAGCAACCCCTGCCTTACCCTGAGCACTTGCAGACATCAATACATAGAAGAACCAAGCAGCGGATGTAGAGAGACAGAGAGGGACGTACCGGTGGACCTGCTAAGCCCATTTCTCCTGTCTCTCCTTTCTGTCCCGTGATGCCCACGCTGCCCTGGTCACCCTTCGCTCCTTTGGGACCCTGGAAGTTTACAGAGAACAACTCACTTAAAGGAAAACCACTTAGAAACCGTTCAGAAACGGCCTTTCTGCTGCTTCTCCCCATACTGCAGCACCAGCTCACGAAAACATATTTCCACGTTAAAACTTACATATGCCATTTTTGCAGGCGCAGCAGAATTTGGCTGGGCCATAGCAGGGACTGCAGCTGCTTAGGGTTGGGAGGGTTTACAACAGAGTTTGATGTGTTTGATGAGCCACTCGTAACAGGAGCCCCTCTAGCTTGGCAGATGTGGTCACGAGCAGCATCTGCATGCCCATAGCTGAGCATGGGGCCATAGGCAAAAGGTGGTTAATGTAAGAAGATGCAGCTGAACACTGGAGCCCGTAGGGATGCTGGGGAGGGACTCTTCATTAGGGACTATAGTGACAGGACAAGGGGTAACGGGTTCAAACTTAAACAGGGGAAGTTTAGATTGGATCTAAGGAGGAAATTCTTTCCTGTGAGGGTGGTGAGGCACTGGAATGGGTTGCCCAGGGAGGTTGTGAATGCTCCATCCCTGGCAGTGCTCAAGGCCAGGTTGGACGAGGCCGCGGGTGAGATGGTTTAGTGTGAGGTGTCCCTGCCCTTGGCAGGGGGGTTGGAACTGGATGATCTTAAGGTCCTTTCCAACCCTAACGATTCTATGATTCTATGATTACGGGGCAGAGCTTGCTCTTGGCAGGCTGAGATTTGCTTTTCACAGCGACAGCTCTCACAGACACACAATAAACCCCTAGCTCGGGTCCTGCAAGGTCTCACTTGATGCAGCCATGCCCCACGCACCTTCTCACCATCCAGCCCAGGTGGACCCGGCAAGCCCAGCTCTCCCTGCAGAGACACAAAGAAAGGGGGGCCCATGGTAAATGGAATGAGGGAATCATCCCAGAGAAACATTCTGGAAGGAAACGAGCTGTTCACTTGTATCAGCAGTTGTGGGTTTGCCATTAGCAGGCTGCGGAGCAGAGGTAAGAATGCTTCCTAGAATGGTTTGGCTTGGGAGACACTCGCTACACGGAGAACCACTGATGACCACATCACCCTGTAGGAAACACTGTGTGCATGGCAGAGATTGGGCTCACCTTTGGACCCGGAGCGCCTTGGGGGCCCGGTGGCCCTGGGGGACCTGGCGAACCCTGAAATACAGCAAACAAAACGGGGATGAGCATGATGAACATGGCACATTATCCTTGGGTGAGCTGGGAGCATAACTCGGAACTTGTGAATTATCTCAAGCAGCAAAACCTCATGTTGTCGCTCAGCTGAAAACCAAACCAGCATCACCTCCTCAAGCACCTTTCCCATGACTGCACACTCCGATGCTGTGACATTCAATCACAGCAGAAGCCTTTGCAAAGCTCTGCCCATGAGACAGGTCAGTGCACAAACACTGCAAACAGCAGGGAAACGGGAACGTTAGTGAGGTTCAGTGGTGTGCCCTTTGGCAATCTCCGCATGCAGAACACGGGAGAGGGGCTGGGCCCAGCACATGAAGTCTCTCCCGACATTTGATGGAGCCTTTCCAACCACTGCAATTCACAAACCCCACTCGCAAAGCTGCATACAGACACCTGGCAAACGGTAGTTACCATCACTTTGTGTATCCCTGCAGCCTGTGGTGAAACAATGAGAACGGGTCTCTAACATATCTGCATTGATTCTATTCAGCTTCTTCCATCATAATGAAAATAGCAGGGTGCTGCTGGGTCGGGCAGGTTAGGGCTCAGGCATCATTTCCCTTCCTCCGGCATCCCAACCACTGCTCGCAAACAAAACCACTCCAGAGGATGCAGAGGGAAAACCACAGCTCCACAACGTGCCATGAGAATAACAGCCCAGGACCTGCAGCCTTTGAGCTGTAATCACTGCATCACTTGCTCTATGTCACAGGCTGTGTCAGGGGTTGCTTTGACCTGTAGAATATTAACTCACATCCCACAGATGGATCCCACCATCCTGGTACCCAGCCTGAGCTCCCAGCCTTGAGTTCCGCCACCGTTTTTCCTGGTACATCCTAAATATCCTCAGCCCCCAGATGAAACAAACTCCTGTCATTCCCCATTAACTCACAGGAATCAGCACAGCCTTGGAGCAGGGCTTACCTTAAGAGCATCCAGGATTCGGCCGTCATAGTCAATCACTACAGTGTCACCCTGCTCCCCTTTCAGACCGGGGGGACCCTGCAACCAGGACGAACCCAATTTAGTTTTGCAGCATCTGAGGAGCGGGTGGAATGAAAGCAGAGACCTGACCCCCCAGGGTTTGGGGATCACCTTAAAACACCATTGATTTAATCCATTCCCAGTCTGACAGCTCTAACTGGCATCCAACCAAACCTCACAAGGGCTTAATTCACTTAATGAAGACTTACACTTGAGCACTGCCAGGGATGGGGCAGCCACAGCCTCTCTGGGCACCCTGTGCCAGCGCCTCAGCACCCTCACAGGGAAAAACTACTTCCTAATGTCTCCCATGGCAGTGTTCAGTACCCACATACGGGTTGGTTTAAATAAGCACCATCTCTGTTTTCTAGCACTGAACTGATCCTGAAGCGATTCAGCCACAGACTAAGCAGAAAGTGGTGGTGGGGAACACAGCTCAGGTCGAGGGAAATACACAATTCCAGACTGAAAAAGCAAAACCCTGAACATCCATACCCGTGGTCCGATGGAGCCAACTCCTCCCTTCTCACCAGGCTCACCCTGGAAAGCAAAATCACATTTTCGGGTCAAAGAGACCAAGGAAAACAGAGGCTATTTATGTTTAAGACACTGCGGCCACACGAGATGCCAAGGTATGGTTTAGATTAGGAAACAGAATGGCACCAACAGGGAACTGCTTCTAGCAGCAAAACCTAGATCTGAATTCAGAGCAATTATATTTTTGCATAAAATAAAGGTTTGAGCTAGTTGACAGCAAGAAAACATCTCACTGCAGATGAGATGGAGAAGAGTGGCCTGCTCGGGGCTGAGCGCCCTGTATCCCCATAAGGGTGATGTGCGGTGCTGCTCCCTGGCTCCACTGTTTGCTCCGAGCGTGCCAAGCTCCAGCTCTTCGTGCTGAAGCTTCACACGGCTCCACCTTTGCTTCAGGCTGAATTCTGCACGTGTGGAAAGTTTTAGCTGACACATTTAAACCATTTCTGAGGGTGGGTTTAAGGAAAAGGCTCTGCCAGATTCCCTCCCCCCATTTGCTGATCAAATTAAAGCCCTCTTAAAAGTAGAAAATGGTATAAACAGAAAGAGTCTCCATAGGAAAACTCCATTCAGCAAGTACCATGGGGAACAAGCACTGCTAATGTGGTTATAGTGAAAACTCAATGGCTAAGGGTCACCTGAGCCCACGTTTCCTCCTCATACACAGTTTTTTTCCCAACAAGGAGCCTTGACTGATATGGAAACACATCCTGCTAAACAAGAAGCAGCTGAGGAGGGAATTAACAGCCCACAAATGCTGTCTAGGTCTCATCATCCCCACTTAACATACCAACATCTCCTATTGCATTGCTTGGCAGTAATGAAGATCAATAGAACAGGATGGCACGTAAGCGCGCTGGGCTTTGAAGTGATGCCGCAGCCCTCAATGCATCCCATCCACATGCGAGCAGAGATTTAGTTCCTTGGGGAAACCCAGGCAACTCAATGAAAAACAACTTAAAACCCCTGACACTGATCTCTGCTTGAACGCAGCTTTCATTGATTTGCCAGAAAAAGCTAAAATACTTCTTGACATCCTCCCAATTTGCTTCAGTTTGGGCACTTTATGAGCCTTTCAGAGGCAAAGGCCTAAAATACCCCCCCCTCATCTGAAACCCTGGGCCTCATCAGTGCTGTGCCCAGCTTCCCAGCTCATGGGCTTTTATTTACCTTGGGACCTGGCAAGCCATCTGTGCCATTCTCTCCCTTGGGACCCACGCTTCCTTTTTCTCCCTGAAAACAAGACAGTTTGGACAAATGTTATAATGGGTAGGATGGAGAACAGATTTATTCAGGCTACAATTGTCTTGCTTTACCTTTACTTTTACATACACGAGTGAGCAAAGCTCTCCTTTTAGCCTGAAATACATCACATTGCCTAAGTGCAAAAGGGGAGGTTTTGAGATATACATGAAGCTTTCAGCCTTAATGGCTATAGGTGGGATGTTCAGCCATAAAGTTAGCCCCAAAACCACACCCCCCTGCACACACATCCCAAACCCCAGCTCCGGGCCAGCCCCAGCAACAGTCCCCCATTTACTTCTGCAAGAGGAGCATCTAAATGGCAATTCTCTGCCATAGCCAACAAGTTGCATTTACAAACTCCTGCAGCGGCAGAGGGTGCGTTATGCTTCTCTTTCTCACTTTCTTTTGTTCTTTCTTCACGTTACAGAATGGGTTGGATTGGGAGAAATGTGCTCCTCAACCTGCCCCAGCTGTGATACTGTGCCAAGAAAACACACAGCAAAAGATGCTGTTGAGCACATACATTAGATGGGCACAGCGCAGAACATACCTTAGGGCCCGTAAGTCCTGGCTCCCCAGGGACCCCATCATCACCCTGATGAAACAAAAAGTGAAACACAAAGAGCTCGTACGCACTCGTCATAGGATCCAGCATCACTTGACCCCTCTCAGTGTTGCATGGACCTGAGACCCACTCAGGTTTGCAGGAGAAAGCTACAGGAAGGAGCCCAGGAAGCTCCAAGTGTGGTCCCCTGCTCCCGCCCATCTCTGCCTCCCCTGCTTCCATGGAGATGGGTGGGATCTCCCAGAATTTCCTTACAGCAGGCCCTGGGGAAGGTGCAATCCCATTTTTAAAAGAAATTGGATATTTAATCCATTTAGGCTTTTTTTTTTTTTTTTTTAGCTCAAAGACCTCCTGCAAGCTGCCACCCATCCTCATGGCCTTCATCAGCACGCCCATCTGCAGGTTTCCTTGTTCCACTCATCAATGCTCCATTGTTCTCTTGGAGTAAAACCACTCCATAGGTGCTGAAGAGGTTAATTTTACTGGCCAGTTATGAACTTTTTTAGGCCAAATTTTAGCCTGGAAATCACCCATGGCCATGTCTGTTTTGGGGCAAAGCAGTAAGAGGGAAAGGCTGGGCCCTGTCAGCGCTTTGCTTCAGTTAAAAGCAGTGATTTATCCATTGCTTGGTGGCACCACCAGAAGGAAACATGGAGAACTGGGGCATGCAAACCTCCTGCAGTCTTCAACACCCTACCCGAGCAGTGTGCCTGTCCTTAAGAGAGTGGCAATCCTCATAAGGCTGAGGTGCTGTGTGATGATGTCTGCCTCAGGAAGCTCAAACCCATCCAGGGAGCCCTGAGCAGAAAACAGTCCCCAGGCGCTTCTTGGTTCGGCTTGAGTTATTGGAGAGAAAGGGCTCAAGACCTACTGCTTTGTTTGGCATTTGTTGCTTCATTCTTTGTCTATTGGGCAGATGGGATTGCAGCTTCTGGCTGGCTTGGGGTAATGAAAACCAGGCTGCAGGCACAGCCATGCCCATGCTTTGGGGTTGCTCGGGAGAGAAATGTCAGGGAACGCAAGGAAAGGTTTGGTATGGACAGCTACAACCATGGACCCATTGGTCTCTGGCAGTGGTTTCCTTAGTTGAGCACAGAGCAGAGCAAAAGGAAATAACTATATGTATATATGTATAAATAAGTCACTATTTTACCTTTTTCCCTTGGACACCAGGCTCACCCTTCAACAGCAACACGCACAGAGGAGACAAGTTTAGGGACATAGCAGAAAATAAGCCCAATTGTATGGATAGTCAAAGTCAATTGTAACATTAAAATACTTGGCTTGTGTTGCTCATCTTGATCCCCCCCCAAAAAAATGCATTTCCCAGATTCCCGCAGCACACCAGGTTCCAGCCCCCTTGCCTCCCTCCACTCAAGGTTTTAGCACAGGCAATGGTTGTGACACTGGGTAGGTGACACATTAAGGCATTGGCAGCTCAAAGACAATGGCTGATGCAATACCTTAGAAGTGTTTGTGTCTGATATGAACTGATGAGTACAAGTCCAGTGCAAAATAGGTATGTTCAAGATGTCAAGAATTCCTGTTAAAATCAGGCAGATGAGAAATTACCCATCACCCACCTTTGGTCCTGGAGGTCCCCTGGCACCCTGTTGAAAAGAAGAGCAGTAGTTTGACAACACAGTATACAGGATAAAAACACTCCCACCAGATGCCAACTTCTCATCTTCCCTTACAAATCCAGCCATAAGGTCTCTGTCCTCCCAATAAATAACATATATTCTTTGTGCCTTGTGTATTTTATGTATAACGAGCACCTCTTTATCCAACCTGGACTGTAGTGGAGTCACAATGCCAAGATGCTGCAGAGGGGCAGAAGTGGGGATAGAGGAGCAGTACATCCCTCCAGAGGAACCAAGGGGTCAAAGACTGGTCTCTCTTTTCCCCAGGGCACAGGTACCCCTGGGCAAGCATCCATTTTAGCGCACCTATAATTCCCCATGGGGTTTTCTTTGCCCTCCATAAGCAATGACACAAACCCAGCACTGAGCTGAAGAGGGATGTAAAGTGAAGGGGACAAGGGACATGCACACGTGGATGCTCTTGGGCAATACTAACCACAAGGCCTTCCTCTCCTGGCTCGCCTTTGAGACCCTGCAAAATAGAAAGGCCGACATTGAAGTTATTGCCCCAGTTCTCCAGAATGCTCATCCACAATCTGAATGTTCAACAACCTTATGTTTCAGTCTATTTTCTTTGATTCAATTGATTGCCAGTGATCTGGAGACTGGAAACAGGTCATCCAATGGCTACAGATTGGGGAAAGAGATCTCTGGGCTCTCCCAGTTACAACCAGCACCTGCAAATACGTGCTCCAGGTCCAGCTCTTTGCTCCAAAACCAAAGATGGAATGATGGAATATCACCGCCTGCTCCCTTGGCCCCATGCCCCGAGGCTTTGCAGTATGAGCAGCATCATCATGGCTCAGACTGGGGACCCAGTGGCTGGGGGGCATCACTGGGATAGGGGACACCCTTCACCCTCCTCTTCCTCACTGGGGCGGGCGCTGCCTGGCGTGTGTTCACTGCGCATCTCCCATCCTTACAGGGGGGCCTGGAGGTCCTCTTGGGCCATCTTTTCCCGTGTCACCAGGAGGACCCCGGGCCCCTGGGGGTCCTGGTGGACCAGGGGGACCAGTGGCTCCATCTCGACCTTGATCACCCTGGAAGAAGTTCACACAGACACGGTGAGGTGAAGCTGTGCTGGGAAGCGATGGTGGCGACACATGCACAGCATCCCTGGGCCATCAGCACCCTGACTAACGCTGTCATGGAGTTACAGCTTCCAATTGGGAAGGCTGGAAGTGAGCTCACGGCCAATTCGCACCCTTTGGGTCTGGCTTCTTAACCAGGATTTTGCTCAGTGCCTTCCAATGAGGTTTTAGCTCGTTAAGTGCTTGCCCAGGGACTGTCTGCATGGGAACTACTAGAAATAACCAGACTCAACAACATGCTGGCATGGGGCATGCACACACTGCCATGGCTCAGTGCACCACACCAGAACACCCAACAAAACCAAGCAGCACTTCAGTTGCATCCTTTAAATACAGCCAAGGTCATTTACAAACACCCAGCGTAGGTCACACTCTGCATTGCCTGGGTGCAAAGGAAACAGCAGCGCATGTATCTACGTGTGATTGTGAAGGTTTAGTGGGTCTGGAGGGGTGCTCCCCATGGGGCTTCACCACCCAGTTATCAGTTCCCAACCCACCCAGAGCTCTGGCCGGTCACATCCCTGCGGATGCACAATGGAAAGCCTCATGGAAAGGCCACCTCATAAATCTTCTAGCAACATCTGGAAGAGTCACCGCTGAGGCAGTGAGAGGACTGGGTTTAATATGTGGTCTGCCCTCAAACCGGGGACAAGTGTGGGACTTTTCACAAGTCCTTAAGTGACTTAGCAGCACAGATCCCATGGCCTTTCAACAAGATCCATGCTCCTAAATCACTTGCATGCTAGGGGAAAAAAAGCCCATTGCAAATGCTGAACACTGCATCCAATTATGTCAAGAGTCACTGATTTTTGCCCGATTATAACGTCACATTTGGAGTAGGGAGATTCAGAGAACTCTAGTTTTAAGGCATTTTATTTTACCAGCACTGTTCATATCAACACCTACAGGACATCGCCGCTTGATTCCCAGTTCTCAAAGCACCGATACATCACTTTCATGTCTCCCTGCTTTGACAAAACTCCCCTTAAACTCCAATGGGGTTTCACTCGGGCACACTCCCAACAAGCGCTTCTGAACATCCTCGTAACAATAGTGCATTATCAGCCAGAAAGAAGTGACAAAAGCAACTCAAAGAATCACAGCAAACCAGAGGAGCACATTTGATAGGTCTACCTTGAGCACTCGCCGGCTAAAGACAAGTTGATCATTAGCCAGAAATCCATGATTGAGGTGAGGAAAAACCATCTAACCGGGTAAAGTGGGAGGCAGAGGAGGAAAGAGCAAGAGTTGAAGATGAAATCACAGCAGAAAAGTGAGTTTCAAAGGCTGTAATAATAATATCACATCTTTTCTCTGATAATTAATTGCTGCATGAGGAAAAATAGTGTAGGTAGCCAACAGTGGTTGTTTTAATGTTCTGGATACACTGAAGCTTAGTAGTTAGTAAACAGAGGGAAACAAGTATCTTTTCATTAGTTTACTGCACAATAGGACATTCAAAGCAGCTGGGGTACAGAGGATTCCCCTACTGCAGGGCTTTCTGCAGAATAAAGAGCATTATTCCAGTAGACCCCATAGGGATATATCCCAGCATTTCTCCTGACGCCAAATACTATCTCTTTTTCAGAGGCTAAAATGAATACTAATGTATTCCCCAGCCTGTAAAATGCAGATAAATCTCTCAGACTTAGACGATGCAAAAACCCAATGTATTCAGACCATGTCAGTAGTCATTGCTATTGTCTTTTAGCCTTTCCACTGATCTATCTAGGGAGGAGAGACATTTCCTTTCTCAGGACACTGCTTGCGCCTCCCTTTCCCCCCATCCATCCCTGCACACATCCACAGGAGGACCAAAGGGATGGTGCAAAGCCACAGGCAGCTCTGTGGGAACACAGAGCACACCCCCCATGAAGGTTTTGGAAGGTTTCTAAGGAACAAACCTCTTATCCATTCATCCAGGGACCTTTTGAAGCTTTTAAATACATTCCCCTAAACCTGAGTTTTGGGTCAATATTGCACAGGCAAACCCACCTCCTGCCCAGCTCCCAGGACAAGCTCAGCAGCAGGCGTGCGTAGCTGTATTGAGCATGGGTGTTCTAACACAGTCATCTCAGAAAGGGAGGGCAAAGGCAGTGGCATGTTAAAAACTGATGAGCCCTGGCAAATAAACCCCTCCCAGTGATTTCTTTCAAGCCATTCTGGGGAGGAACAATGCTGAAAAGCCCAAGTTGATGGCACGATAAATGAATGGGGACACAGAGTCCTGGTGCTCGGCCAGACCTTCCAGATACTACAGAAACCAAAAAGGCTCTACTGGGAGCAAAGGGTTTTGTGGTAGACTCAAAGCACCGAGTTTTATGGCTTCTTATGTGCACAAAGATACACAAGAGCATTAAGTGGGATTTGCAGAAAAGACCAAGAAGTAAGACGTGAGCTGAAGCCTTTTTCTTACCCCTCAGATTGCTGAGCACCATCCAAGTAAACACTTTCCAAGCTCAGGGAGCGAGTCTGGTTTATAAACCGGTCCTTTTCATTAGCATAGCAATGTATTTGATTTCAGGAGAGGAGTACAAGCACAAGTGTCAGGGCACAGGCCCAGCCTTGGCCGCATCCTGCTTCAACTCCCTCGTTCCAACCTGGAGCAGAGGGAATCTGTTCTTGCTGCCTCCTTTTGAATACACTCATATGCACTTTGTCTGGTTGTGTTTATTGCCCATCCTGCTGAGGTGAGGCTGCACAACAGCCCTGCTGATGCCATTTGCAAGAGCTAGCGCTTAGCGCCTAAGACAACCCAATGTGAACTCTTCATTCAGCTCCCCAAAACCACCCTCCGACAAGTGCCATCAGGCCCACTCAACACGTGCAATGACCTCTTTTTTGCCCACGCTGGTGGCAGGTCTTTATTAGAGACAGAAAGAGAAGCAGCGCAGACGTGAGCACGTTCAGTAGCCAGTCCCTGATTGCCTTCATCTTACTTCCACCATGAGAAATCTGCCTCAGGCATCATTCTCTTTTAATCTATCATTCCTAATGATAATATTTTTGTGCTCACTGACACACATCATCCCCACTCCACTGCCCATAGACACACATTTATGAGGGAGAGGGCGCTGGGTAAATCCCTGGTTATTTATCCTCCCATTGATGCGATGACTTGCTGCAACACATCTTTCAAAATCAGCTGAACAAAGCCAGCACTGAAACTGGAGGAGGAAGATAGATTACATTAAGAAATAAACCCCAATCTGTGCCAGATGGTATTAAGAAGTTTTGTATCCAACCCACAACCCTGTCTGCAGACATAAAGGGTGCTATTTTCAGAGCCAGGCAGCAGTTTTCACACCTACTTGTGCATGGCCCTGCCAGGCTTGTGTCTTTGCCTTTCCTCCCGGATTGGAAGCTTTTGTACTGCTCTTGTGCAAAATGACACAAATAAATCTAAAAGTAATAAAGATCAGGAGGAAAAAAATCCCCATACATTTTTGCTGGTAGGTTAACACATAGGGCGAGTGTTACCTTGGGAGCTGGCACTTGCCCCTGCGTGTCCAGATGGAACCTGTCCCCTGAGCATCTCCTCCATCAGGAGGTGGGTTCCCACATCATCCAGCAGCACAGAGCACAGCAGCCTTGAGCAGCATCTCCTTTGGCATCACCCCAGCCACCAGCCCCAAAGACATCCACAGCCCCAGCCAGGGAGTGAAAGCTCACACTCCTGTGCTGCTGAATCACCTCTTAAAGCCTCTTCTGAGTATGGGGTGGGCACTTGGGCGAGGTGGGGACCTTACACCAAGCCCCTCCTTAGCCATGCAGGGAATAAATCTATCGAGTTTTAGGGGCTCTCAGAGCCCAAGGGTGATGTTTCCAATTGTACCCAAGGCAGTTGGGAGCTGCTTCAGAAATGACACCAACTTCAAACACTGACTTAGGGGCCCCTAAGGGAGAAAAGGAAAAGGACTCCAAGGCATCTCTGCCCACATTAACCCCTGAGGTCCTGGCTGTGCTTCCAGCAAACGCATCCAAACCTTCCAACCGACCCTTGGCTGCCAGCTCCAAACCTGGGCTCTCCATGGGGACCACAGACCAGCATCTCAGCACATCCCCAGCAGGAGCCCACAACTCACCTCCGTTACTGTGACAGAGCCCACCTTGGAAATACCATATACCTCATAGCGAGCCTTCTGTTTCATCCCCAGCACGGGAGACTTTGTGCTACTGCTGCCATCACCAGCACCACAGTGGGACCACGGGATAGCCATGTTTCTGCTGAGCCCCATGGGGACCTATCCTGACACACTGCAGTAAATCTCAACTTCATGTAGCCCCAAGAGAGCCATTTCCACAAAACTCCATTAATTTCCATAGCCAAAACAGTTTTCCCTCATCGTATAGTTACTTTAAACCCTTTATTTTCCAAGGCAGCCTCTGGAGTGCCACCACACTTCCAGGTGGGTAACTCAGCAAGAGAGAAGGAGCTTTCCATCGTACACAACACCATGCCAGGCCTTTCCTTGGGACACCAGGTCTTACCACCACGTGCTGGTGCTCTAACACCAACAAATGAGGAGCACAGATTCAAGAGAAACATGGGGCTTGTCTCTGACACTGGAAGGGGTAATTGGGGATATAGGAAAGTCCAGTAAAAGCAAAAAACATCATGAAGCACCCAAAGGTCTTCAACTCTTGTTTCCCCCATGGTCAAAGATAGGAAAACCACCAGAAAGAGCTCCAATGGCAAAATTAAATGCTTCCAGAACTCTCACCCTACTTCATTTTGCAGTGACAAAGCTGCACAGAGCCTTGTTTTGTGCAGTGACCAAACCCAACCAGATCTTGGTACAAATCAATGTGCTGTGTCACTACTTACCCTCGGGCCGATGTCCCCTGCTTCACCCTGTGCATCAGGCAAAACAGCAAGGGTCAGCTATTAGAGTTCAGATTGCAACCACAAAGGACCAAGCTCAGGGTCAGCTGGATGCGGGAACAGCACGGAAAGGAAGTGGCAAGAGCCCTGTTGCTTAATGTATTCAAAACCAGGGAGGAGAAGGGCTCGAGACAACACAATAGGAACGATTCTGCCCTGGCAGGCGATGAAACAGATAATAAATCAGAAATAGCAGATTGTTTCCAACTCTAAGGCTCCCCTAGCAACTGCTTATGTCCTACACATGCGAGGACTAACTGCACTTGCAGTACAGAAACGACCTTCTTTGGCTGGTCTAATTTCATGGGAGGATGACATGCAAACACAGAGCGATGGAGCCCGCAGCCTTGCTCCTGGAGGAAGCTGTTTGCCACTCTCCTAACCCTTAAGGGGTTACCAGGAGCCCTACAGCATGGATGAGCTTTAAGGAGATATTGATTCCTCCCACGTTTTTGCAGTTCTTTCTGCCCTCCCCTTCCTGGGGTTTTTCCAAGAGCAACCTGAGAACCCACTGTTGTGGTTCCACATCCCAACAAACCCCAGGGGTAATGTCATGCTGGTTTATGGGGTAACCTGAACTGAAGGAATTAGAGCAGGAGGAGGATTATAGAGCTGCTTCCCCAAAAGCCACACGTTAATGCAGTCTTTACCTTTTCCCCTTTTGGTCCTGGAGGTCCCTGGAAATACATGAGAAGGATCCAAGTTAAGCAATGGCAGAATAATCAATGCACATAGCATCGCTGCACTTACCAATTCACAAACCTGAGCCATGTTCACTATCATTAGGTTATACACACTATGATTTTAAGCTACACAATGCTTCACATGAGTACCACACCACCAAAAAGCACCAATGTGGTCCTGCCTGCTTTTGCCAGGACAGGGGACCGGAGAAGGACCGGGGCAGGGCAGGCAGCGTGGCAGCCGCTCACAAACACATGACCCTAAATAGATGCAAGGGGTTTCTTGAAGTATTAAATCACTTCTAGAAAAACACATGCTCAGCATATCATTACAACGATTATACATCTGTTTGAAATAAACAAGGAGGATGGGCTGCTTTCCTTGGCCTGTTTGTTGAAGACATAAGTCATCTTCCCCCCAAGCAGCTTTCTGTAAGGCAGGCAGGCAGAGACACGCTGCAGCCCCAAAGAGAAGCCACAGAGCAACGCTTTGATGTGCCTGCTCTGCATCCTCCTTCCAGCACAGAAAAGCACTGAACCTTGGGGGTCAGCCTGATTCATGGTGTTTGCTGAAGCTGGACCTGGTGGGATGCAGTGGGGGGAAAGTCAGCAGAGAGGCCAGCAGTGGCAGCATCCGCAACCCTGTGTGGCATCCACAGCCCTGCGCAGCATCCCTCCTGCTGTTTGTTTGGCTCAGAGGCAAGGCTCCTGGCCCCTTACTGTCATGGAAGGGATCACAAACAGTCTCCTTTGAGTTTGCTTTCTCTATGAGATGTTCCCTGCCTCTCACTCAGAGTCCCAGTGTGCACACACAACTCACAGCAGTCCTCATCTATGTGCCTGCCATAGGGCAGTAGTGCAGGAGCCTGCTGCTGCTGTTGGGGTTTGTGCTGCTCTCCCATCATGGGGCTTTGTTAATTCAAAGCCAAACCCTGAGCACAGCAGTCTGAGCTGGTCTTTTTGCTTTTCTAATGCTTTATTCCCAGGGTTCTTCTCATTCACATTTGTCACCTTCCGAGACAGGATATAAAACCACCACTGCAGCGTACAGCTATAGCAAAACACTCAGGAACTGGCTAGAAATAAGCATCTGCAGTAACTTTTTGATGGCAAAGTCTGAATAGCTCCTGCCCCTTTGAAAATCACATTTGGTTTAGGACCAGAGCTTGAAAAGATTTCACGTGGGGCCCTCTAGTGAACGCGGTGGCACGGAGTGGGATTTTGGCACATGGGTAGCAGCCATCCAAGTAACTGAAGGGCTTCCAAGCAAAAACGAAGTCAAGAAAACAGCTCATAAAGCAAAGTCCAGGCTGTTCCGCAAAGGGTTGGATGGACACCGAGCATTCCCAAGCATTTCCCACCTGGGCTTCTCTGGGGGGAAATGGACCCAACTTGGGAAGGATTACCTTTATGATAGCCCTTTTTAGTGCCAATGCATGCAACCACAATCACTGCCTGCTTCTTCCAAGGTGCTACTGGAGGTGATTTCCCCAATTTGGCCTGCCTCCAAGCCTCCACTAGCCAAGATGAGCTGACAGGTAAAGCAAAGCTCACCTCGAGCTGTGCCAGCCCTGGCTCATGATACGAACTTGCATGTGTTACAGACCATAGAATAATCTTCCTAAACACAATCTAAACAGTTACATGTGTAGTAATGAACAAGCAATAGCTGAGATTCTGCCTATGAATTGCACAGCAGTGTGAATAAGGACATGTTACATTTGGCACTCGGTGCTACTTACTGGTTTGCCATCCAAACCAAGAGGCCCCTGGAAAAGGAAGCAAAAGACAGTGTTATTAAAAACCAGAAATAGCTAAAAACCCCACTATATTACAGACATAGCAATCAGTCATGCTCTGAAAGAGGCTCTACTTGCTTATAGCGCTATCTTTGGCTATGTTACTTGTTACCTAATCCTTCATCCATGCAATCCAGCAGGAAGGTTTCACAGAAGTACAGTAAGAGGCATCAATTTGCAGAGGATGAAGGAGCGTGAAAGGAAGCAACAGGATTAGTGACAGGGGCAAGGTGACACTGCTCTAGCAATGAAACACGCCTGATTTGGTTAAACTGAGCAGATCCTGGGACTGACTCACATCAACCTCACACCTGAACTGATCTGTTTTTTGCTAAAGGACCTGCCAAAACACTACCCTTTTACCCAAGATATAGGGATCAGCCATCTCCATCAGTCCATAAAGGTAAATCTCATCGATGGGTGTCCTGCTACAGAGGAAGGAAGGGTGCATCTGCCCCTTGGGATGATACCCGTGTGCTTGGCTCACCTGCAGGGATACAAAGCTAGAAGCACACTTGTATCTGCAGGACTAAGCACTTAGTTACTCAAGTTCTTACCCAGGGCTCCCTTCCTAGGGCTGCTGCAGGAGCGCATGGCAAATCAACATGAAAAATGGGTATTTCCCTACTATTTCTAGTAGGTAAGCCCTTACCTAACATAAAGTCACTGAACCTGTTTGGCCATAGGAAACTTTGCTTTTGAGAAAGGATGCATGTGAGGAGAGGAAGCACAAGTGCTCTAAGGCCCACGGATGAACCCAAAGCTACAGCTGACACACTTGGGGATGAAGAGGAGCACAAAACAGTGTAAATCCCAGAACTGCACTTCCACCAATCCAAAACTGCCACCAGGGAGCTTAAAACATTTCCTCATTTAAACCCGAAGGCTCAGCCCTGCAAGCTGCTCCTGAAGAGACACGGCACGAAGGTTGTGAGTCAGCAAAGCCCTCGGACAACTGCTTCCACCTCCACGTTTCCAACATATGCTCATGTACAGATGTGCTGGGCTGAGACATCTTCCAACGTTACAGTGCCATAAACCATGAGGACCCACCAAAACAAACGTAGTTTGGACCACGGGATAACACAATGATAAAGCATCAGTGTTCTGTATTTCTTAGGGAACTGACGAGGGTCAATCTTTTATAGTTTAGCTTAAATCTGCAATGGTAAAATTGATCAAAAAGAGAAAGATGAGTAAGAGAAGCCCAATGGCAGCATTAAAAATAGCATCCTTCCAGCTTACAGTTCTGCCCATTGATAAGGAATAAATCAGTCTGCAGGGACTGTGGGGACCAGGCTTAGGGTACAAAAACCTTGAGACACAGGGTTAGGAAAAACAGGTAAATCCAGGTGGCTGAATCCTGAGCAGGGCATCGGTACCGGTGTTACAGGGACTGGGGGACCTGCATAAGAGATGTTCACCTGAAAATAAACAGGGATTTCTTCACACAGCCCAGGTCTCTGAAGTGACAGACATCAGTTATGCTGTTCACATGGTGCACGTTGTTTCTCATAAGGGACTAGCAATACACAACTGCTACGGAGCAGTAATGAATAAATGAATGCAGGCACATCCGTTAATGAGAAGTGTTGCAGGTTGTAACCAACTACTTCTTCCCCTAACACCCCTCTGTGCTTTATCTCACCTGAATTCCTTATGCTGCAACACCTGGGAAATGCATCAGGCCCATAGAGCTTCTTCCTGAAACTACAATGGTTTGAGGCAATTCACCTGATGCAAGACTCTGACCTCCAGAGGACAAGATGTGGGCCCTGAGCACAGAAATGGAGCACATTGGGCTTCTCAAAGGAGTAGAATCCAGACTTTTTTTCCAATCTACAATGCCAGTTCATCAGCTTTTAGCTATTCTTGTATCGGTCCACAAAGGCGCATCCAGAAGGAAAAACAATGGCCTATTCAAAGGATGTTTATTTGAGGGAAAGCATTTAATGCTTGAGAGAAACAATACCCATTGGGCTTTCAAAGAGGCCCTTGGCTAGCTGTGCTGCTGAATGGACAAGACTAACTCAGACTTTTAAATGTCCTGTTAGTTTGGGCTGGAGATTTAATTGACTGAGCTCTACCTCCCCAGCCAAACATCTACATGAGCAAAGGGAGGGTTTCCAGGCAGAGGACTGCATGTGTAACATAGGAGAGAGCATCTGAAATCTGGGCTTCTGACTGCCTCCAACTTTCAGGAGCATGCATGTGTTGAGACTGTTATTGTCTTTTATGCGACTTCTGCTCCATGTCATTGTAATTAAAGATGAAGCAATCTTTAGTTTATTTGATAACTAAGAAACAGGAAAACAACGAGTAACCCCCTATTCCCCGAGTCAAAAACCTCCTCTAGAGAAGTTTGCATTTTGGGGGTGATTTGGAGACAAGGGGAGGACACAAAAATCACTAGCACAGAGTGTAAGATAAGGGTGATTTTTCTGGCCACCCCATTCCAGCATCACAGTGGCTTTACTCTGTGCTTTTTTTGGCCAGGGATGAACTTCACTCATGCCTTAACCCCGTCTCAGTTACAATCCTTTCACTCCAAATCACACACAGGGACCACACTTGACGTTATTAAATGCTCACTACCTTGAGAGGGGATAAACTTTCCATTTAGGACAAACTTGATGCTTGAAAGCAAGGCAGAGAGAAAATTCAATCAACTTCCCCCCAAACATGGCTCTGACTAAAGCCATCAGTGCACCCCAAGCAGGACAGAAACCCATCGATCCTGGGTGCTTTGAGGAAGGTGACACTGATGTGGTCCCAGCTGACATCCTTCAGTGGTCATCAGAGCCCATTCCTAACTGGTAATCAACTCGGATCTCATTTTCTGACCGTGTCAGAGCAGGAGGAACTGAGATGAGTGATAACTGCAATTGCTCGCCTTGGCTTTACCTCTCACAAGCTGTAACACAGGTAACATGGTGTTCCTGCAGGCAAAATGACCCAAACCATGGTGCGTCCCCACTGCCATCGCCTGGGTGAGGACGTTATTTATATAATGGTACATGTTTTGATATACATTAATGGCATATTATTTAACTTGATAGTTATATAATGTTGCTGAGAATACAGATGCATGTTGGATAAGGCACTGGGGCTACGTGATGCGCTCTTGCTGCACACCTTGGTTTGGCCATGCAACATTTCAGCTTCAGAGGAAGGGGGCACATTCAGGTATGTTTTAAAACAGATTCTGGTTTTCTTTCACAGTAGAAGCGCAGAAATCTTGGATCTAGCACCCAAACGTCACCTCTCATTCACCCACCACCAAGATCAGCTGAAGGCTTGCCAACAGTTCCGAGTTCACCAAGATGGGAAGGCAAGAAACTTGCAAGCTCCAATTCACGTGCAAAAGCTCTTCTAATAAGTAATAAGCATTTTCACCATACATCCCTCAGAGCAAGCCAGGGGCAAGCCCAGCTAACTGGCCCTCTGTCTTCCTCCTCCAGTGCCATTACTGCTGCTGGCAGGGAGGTTCTTGCTTTAGCAGCATTGCAGGAGTTTAAAGGGAGGAGAACAGGCATCATTAGGACAATCCCGAGTTGGGAAATCTTCCCTCATGGTTATTTTTAATGTTTCCTGCTCTGCTAAAAATTAGCGCAGGCGTCAGAAGGAGCCCTGCAGTCAAACTTGAACAGATTCAAAGGGCTGCCTTCAATCTCTGCCTCTGTGGTTTCAAGGGATGGTAAAATCTTACACTGGAGAAAGAGGAAAGTGTCAGAACAAAAGAGCACGGCAATATTCTATCATCATTGAGCGGCGTGGGTTGGAGGCAGGGAGCAGGGACCACTCTTTCCTATAGGCTATGCTGTAAATCATCGCCAGCAGAGCAGTGCCTGCTGGCCATGAGGCTCCTCAGCGCATTGTTATAGGAGAGAAAAGCTCTGGTGAAAGCTGTGGCCAAGCACGCGCTGCCAGAGCCGTCACAAGGGAAGTGCAGAGAGGCAGCCAGGTTGCTGTGGCTCCTCTGAGCTTCCAAGGGAAAGGAAAAGGAGAGAAGAGGGATTGAGAAATGAAATGTGAGTCCTCTGAACAGTAGCTGAGAGCCACTGGTGTGAACTGCAAGTGAATTGAGTTCAAGAGATGCTCTGGATGTCACCTTGTCCCCAGCTACTGCTATCCCTTCCTCAAGTCCTCGATGGAAAAGGACCAGAAACCCTCGTAAGTTTCCACTCCATCCAATAACACCTCTGCTACAGTCATCATCCACCCTCCCAAATAACAGCATTTAACTATCTGTGAAGAGACAGACTCCATGTATGAAATCAGTCACAGGAGGTATTATCCCGCACGCACACTGACTGCAATGGCTCGGAGCCTGGGCCAAGTCCTTCGTGCGAGGTTCCACCAGCATCTGCCCAGACCTCTGGGGTGCCCAAAGCGAGACCCCAAAATCATGCCAGCCTGTGGCACAACACAGCATTGGAAACATTCCTACCAGAATCTGTCTTATTTAAGCATTAAGATCACTATAATCATGATAGCTTCATGCTTAACTTTATATTGCGTGGATGGTTTCACTGGACTGGGATTGCTGCACAGGAGAACAGCCATGCACTTAAAAGTACACATTTGTTTTCCAGCATGAACATGATTAATAACAATTTTTGTTCAGCGTTTTCCTTTTCTTTGCTTGAAAAAAGCAATTCCAGTATTGTCCAACACAAATCCCCCTTCGGTCCATGACTGCATCCAAACCTGAAACCTCTTTCTCATTAATGGGTGATGGGCTTTCCTTCAGTAAAAAAAAAAATCAGATAGCTCTCCAGTCCTATTATAGGCACAAAGCAGCCATGACTTTTTTTTTTAATGTTTGTAAGACTAATGGTTTTAATTTCAAAAATAATTTACTTTTGCCATCAGTGTGTTCTGCTTCCATATGGAATTACAGAATATTTGATGAGGGAAGCTTGGCTAGCCTGGCTGTCGCACAAGGGATACAAGTCTTTTAAACCTAT